TTACGTTATATTGTTAACATGAATTCCCGGTTGCTGACGTCACATGTGTTGCGTAAAAGTTTCATATCTCTCGAGGTGAGGTGAGGTGAGGTGAGGTGAGGTGAAGTGACCAATTATGTGATGTTATGTAAACAGAGAATATCATCTATAGGCCAATGAGATGAGATATACAGATGGATACGTCTGTCAGTCTGTCTGTTTATCTAAAATGCAGCAATAATACCTTTTGATTTTTAATAAGGTAACAGAGTCAACACACACACACACACACACACAGTCAGTCTCGTTATTGAAATTCGGTTTTGATGTGTTCCCCAATTGATGGATTCTGCTAATTGCTTCCCCTGACGCTCCATGGATACCACTCCTGCATTTCCCACGCCCCTCACGCCTCCCCATGCCCCCTCCCTCCACCCCTCCTCAGGTCCCCCTCCTACCGCGCCCTCGTCTGCTTGGTCTGTGTCGTGTGTACCCAACAGGAAGAACTACAGTCTTAGAATTGTTAATATTGTGATAATTTGTATATCTGCCATGTTGGTGATAATGATGGTGGTGGTGGTGATGGTGGTGGTGGTGATGGTGATGATAATGATGGTGGTGGTGGTGGTGGTGGTGATGGTGGTGATAGTGATGATGATGATGATAGTGATGGTGGTGGTGATGATGGTGATGGTGGTGATAGTGATGATGATAATGATAGTGATGGTAGTGGTGATGATGGTGGTGATAGTGATGATGATGATGATGATAATGATAGTGATGGTGATGGTCCACCAAAGTCAGATTAACTCTACGTGATTCACTAATGTGATTGATCGATTTCCTCAGCTATTTAATATAGGTTGGTCAGGCAAGATGACTCGGCGGTTCTTAGACGGGATTCCATCTGCCCCATGTTTGACTTACATAACCTAACCTAATATAATCTAAGCTCACCTAACTAGTCTACCTTAACCTCAATTAAAGAGTAAGACTTAACCTAATTCGTCGTAACCCAACATAATCTATTCGAAATTAACCCAAGCTAACCTAATCTAGCCAAGGTCGTCTGAACCAAACACAGGTTAAGTGAGGTGAGTGAGGATAGTGAGGGAACAGGTGAGAGGAGTGAGGGGACAGGTGAGAGGAGTGAGGGGACAGGTGAGAGGAGTTAGGGGACAGGTGAGACAAGTGAGGGACCTCTTAACACCATAATAGGTCGACGACTAATGGCCGACTTCGGTTCTTTTCCCTTTTCGTTCTCTCTCTCTCTCTCTCTCTCTCTCTCTCTCTCTCTTCCCTTATTTCCCCTTCCTTCTTATCTTTTTTTCTCCTCCATCCTCTCCCCCTTTCTCTACCTTCCTTTTTCTCTCACCCTTATTCCACCATCTTCCCTCTCTCTCCCTGCCATCCTTATTTCTTCTCCATCAATCTCCCTTATCCCCTATATCTTTCCCTTTTCCCACTCCTCCTTCACTTCCACCCACCCCTTCACTACTCTCCACTCTTCCTTCTACCTCCCCTCTATCCCCCCTCCACTTCCTTCATTCCTCAACCTCCCCTCCACCTCCACCCTCCCCATTCTCAACCCTCCCTCCACTCCTCCACCCTCCCCATTCACCCCCCTCCCCTCCACCTCCCTTCATTCCTCAACCTCCCCTCCACCCTCCACCTCCCCCATTCCTCAACCCTCCCCTCCACTCCTCCACCTCCCCTTCATTCCCCCTCAACCCTCCCCTCCACCCTCCCCTTCATTCCCCCTCAACCCTCCCTTCCATTCAACACCCACAGCAGCAAGGGATGAGCTGTTATGGTATGTACCCTTTAAACTGCAACACCTCTTGACGCTGGTAACACTGTGTGGCGAGGGGTTTGTTGTCTTCGCTCTGTGTGTAACTATGTATGGTGGAGGGGGGGGGGATGTTTGGGTAGGGGGTGTGTGTGTTTTGGGGAGTGCTGGGATGAGGGTATTGAGTTTGTGTGTGTGTGTGGAAAGGTTTGAAGGTGGGTGGGTGTGTGTGTGTATATCAGTACCTCGGTCTGTCGTTTAATATGAAACTTATCAACTCGACTAGTTTTGCAATATTGGACGGATCGATTTGAAACTTTTTAATCATTATCATTATTATGTCAGGTGAAGCCAGTTAATTCGGACCTTAATGAAGCAGATCGATTCTTAATGAGGCTCATATGCAAATTAGATAAAAACAAATATGCATTTATGTCACGGAAAGCGAATCAGTGAAGTGTGTGAGACCTTGATGATGATGCGTTTCTGAACACCTGCTATACGTTAAGAGAAAACACGTTAAGCGGATATTCGCTATATGGACCTACGTTAAGTGGATGTTCGTTAAATGGATGGACGTTAAGTGGATGTTCACTAAACGGACATACGTTAAGCAATTATTCGTGAAGCGGGCACTGACTGTGCAAGCTATTTTAAGAAACTCAGTGTGCAAAGTAAGCAAAGTTGACTTAGGATTGTTAAGTCATTATGGTTATCAAGAACTTAGTGACGCACATCGAGCCCAAGAGATGTTAATGAGGTAAATATGTAAAGTAGAGCAAAAGGTGACGTAAGCGAGGGTGGCAGGATCACCAGAGGAGGTTGTTAGGTCCATCAAGGAGGGCGAGTGGGTGGTGCTCGTTGGCCCACCTCGAGCTTACTTGATCCTCTTTGTGCGAGGAACAGGAACCCTCTGCATCTCGTCTCAATCTCATCTCTTATCCCCCATGAGACAAAGGATCACACTGTAGTCCTGGAGGCTTCTGGCGATGGTAGTAGTGTCTTCATCCTGACTGAATACTTACCGAGGGGGAGAGGGCCGAGAGGGGGGAGAGGGGCGAGGATGTGGCTCAGACTTAACTGGGAAATGACCCCAATAAACAGTTATATAAGCCTGTGAAGAGAACCGAGGTTACTTACTGTTATTACGTACATTACCGCGGAGGAAAGAGGACGAGGGAGGTGTTAAAGCTCGCTGCTGAGCTCGATACTTACCTCGGGGTGAGTGTCAGGTTTTCTTCAGAGATTATGTGTAAACATTCTATGGAAGGATTTGAAAATAATTTGATCACGGAAAGATTAGGCCTCCCAGTTTATTTCACTTAAATACCCTAACCTAACCAACCCAATCCACCCTAACTTAACCTAACCTAACGTTACTTAACCCAAACCAAGCTAACCTAATTCCCATTTGGGTGTTCAATCATCAGGTGAAATAAGCTGGTTGTCTAATTTTTACAGGATTCTAATTTAGGATAATATTTGCATTGTTTCCGCGTCTATACAGTTGATGAAAAGTAGTGTAATGCAGAAGGGAAGCATGACTGTGTGGTGTGTGTGTGTGTGCGTCCGTCAGTATTGTAGGGGTGGCTATGACGTCATGTATAGGTTTAAGGGGGGAGGGGCGTTTAGGTTGGGGTAATGGGCAGGTATAGGATGTGTGGGCAGGCGGAGGTGTTAGTGAAGCCAGTCAACACCTGCTCACCAATGTAAACACACAGGCTGGGGGGTGGGCTCTCATTACTGACGTCGTGTTGAATCGATATACTGTACGTCCTGTATTTTACGATTATTCATTCTTTTGTAACCAAGTAAAGGTTTTAATAGGAAACAATTAGATGCCGAAAAGGGAAGTTCTTGTCATAAATTGTCTCCAGCTATATAGTTTAAGCCAGTATGGAAAGTTAACTTAGGTTAGCGTTAAGTTATGCTTGATTAGCGTGGGTTAAGTTAAGCTAGGTTAGATTAAATTAATTTGTTACTTTAAGTTGAGTTAGATCAGATTTGGTAGAGGTTAGATTAAGTTAGGTTAGCGGTAGGTCAAGTTGGGTTAGGTTAAGTTCCATTAAGTTAGGTCATGTTAAGTTCGGTTTGGCCAAGTTAGCATTAGGGTCGTTCATCTTCAGGTGAAATATGTCGGGGTGTCTAATCTTCAAGTGAGCCATAAATAATTATTTTCAATCTTATTTCACTCTTAAAGGCGGTAAATTTTCTCCTGCGGTAAAGTGTAAAGATATCCCATCACAAGTCCAGTATACTGAACCCTTGAACTCCTTAAGGCCCTTCAGGAAGGTCTTGGCGGGGGGGGGGGCAGGTCTAGTATACTGAACCCTTGAACTCCTTAAGGCCCTTCAGGAAGGTCTTGGCGGGGGGGGTGGATCAATATTGTCTGTGTGTGTGTTAGTCACATGTTGAGTGTTTTGAGTGTTGAGTTTTGTGTTTTGTCCTGCGTCATTGTGTGTTGCTGTTGGGTGTGTTGTGTTGTCAGGGGTTGTGGTGTTAAGCTGTTCTGTTGTGTTTTGAGGTGTTGTAAGATGTTGTGATGTTTTGTTGTACTGTGTGTTGTGTTGGGTGCTGCATGGTGTTGTGTGGAACTTAACTTAGAACCACTGTCATAGGGGAGAGAGGTATGCTAGGTTACCAGGTGGTCTAATGTTGACACTAATGGTTATATCTAATATACCCCGTCGTGGGAGAGTTAGGACCTCTTGAAGTATATTCTGAGCAATGATAATATCGAATAAACCTCTGGAGGGGGGGGGGGCAGGAGAAGGACAACCCACCTCCCACCCCCCTTTCCCTCCCCCACTTGGCACAGGGCCAACAGTGGCTCTCTCGTCACTTGCTGGCACCGACTTGACTTTATTGACAATGGTGTTGATTTATCTGGAGCAAGAGAGTTATGTAATTATTCCTAAGTGTGTGTGTGTGTGTAAACAACAAAGGACTCTGACATTTATTTATTCTTTATAATAAACAATAACACTATTTTTAACCCCTTTACAGTACTGCTCTGTGCGTGACTCGTGCCAATTAACAGTACGTAACAATTTTGTAACATAATCACTGTGCTCGTAATCCCTCCCCGCGATTCTCTCTCATAACTGCTATTAATCGACTACACGTGATGTTAGGCACCAATGGTAATTCGCTCTTAAGTGTGAATTAATTGTGATTGGCTGTTGAATATGTGATGTTAACAGAACGGCAAGTTATATGATTTTTTTTACAGGTGAGACGTGACGCTCGACCAATCAGGGAGAAGTAGGTCGATGGCGACTTGCTGGTCCTGGGATTAAAGATTTGCTTTTAAAGGTTTGAACTGTGACATTATCTCTCTATTTCTGTCTTTCTGTCTCACTCTTTTTTTCACTTTCTCTCAACCGCACTTATACTTGCATTTACTTACGTATTTATTTTATTTACTTGTAAAATCATATTAAGTATGGATAACAATTTTATGATCTTAAAACGTGTTAGGTTAGGTTAGGTTAGGTTAGGTTAGGTTAGGTTAGGTTAGGTTAGAATGGTTACATTATATTTTGGTCTGGGAAAATATTACCTCTAATTGAAAGTTCTTAATAGTGTTAAGTTTACATTCGTCGACCCAAACTATGAAAACTTTTTTTATATTATTTTTACAGCAGGACAAAAATACATGCGCATTTAGGGTCGAAATTTGTATCATCAATTAAAGGCAAGACAAAAAGTTGACCTACTTTTACTGCTGGAGTTAAGATGATTTTTTGTTCTCCAAATAGGACAAAGGTTTACTTATTTTAATATATCAATTGAAAGTAGCGCATAAAGTTTATTTACTTTTACCATTAGAGTAAGTGAAGCAAGGTGGAACTTTTGTATATTTGATTAAAAGTAGATAAAAAGTTTATATTTTTTTATACATCATTAACAGTAGGACGAGGCAATTTCCTTTAACCGTTAGTCTCTGTGGGTCAAGATTGCTGGTGTGTGTGTGTGTGTGTGTGTGTGTGTGTGTGTGTGTGTGTGTGTGTGTGTGTGTGTGTGTGTGTGTGTGTGTGTGTGACGTAACAACAGAGAACATGACGTGACTGTCACCTGCCCAGGGTAGGTGAGGCAGGTGCGTCCCTCGTCGCCATGACAACCTCTCCCATCAACATCCCAGACTTAAAGATGCTCCAGTGATGCGGCCTGGGCCATCTTACTCTCTCATCCCTCTCTCTTCCCTCTCTTTTCTCTCCCTGTCTCTTCCCCTGTCTTCCTCCTCCCCCTCCCTCCTCCTCCTCTCCTCCTCCCTCCTCCCCCTCTCCTCCCCCTCCTCTCTCCCTCCCCCCCCTCCTCTCTCCCCCTCTCATTTCCTCCCTTTCTGTCTTCCCCTCTTCTCTCTGTTCTTCCTCCCCTCCTCTTTCCCTCTCCTTCTTCCTTCCCCCTCCCACTCTATTCCTCCCACCTCCCTCTATTCATCTCCTCTTCATCCTATCCCACTCTCTCTCCTCGTCCATTCATCCCTCTAGCTGAAGGTGGCAGACAAGAGAGAGACGGTGTGACGGGAGATGGCAGTCGTTGACATGACAGATGGAAGTGATGGCAGACGTTGATGACAAGAAATGGCAGACATTGATATGACAGCGAGATGGCAGACTCTTATGATGGTATTGATTCGTGTGTGTGTGTGTGTCTGTGTGTGTGTGTGTGTGTGTGTGTGTGTGTGCGTGTGTGTGTGTGTAAGCGTACGCGCGCCTGCCTGTCATGCAAGTGCAAAGTTCTCCTCCTCCTCCTCCTCCTCCTTTATTTCATGTAACAGTATACTTAAAATTCGTTTAAATTTTAATTATATTATTTAGGCCGCGAAGAAGAGTCTCTCTCTCTCTCTCTCTCTCTCTCATATATATGAATACATTATACATTATTTATTAATACATGATCTATGACTATATAATGCACGATATATTGAAGGTCTCTATTGCATCGTTGTGGCCTCTCCTGGTGTATTGTTTTGTACTGAATATAAAGACTTTCCCTGGAGCCGCCACTCTTCATCGGGTAATGGTGTGGTGTGGTGGTATGGTGTAGTGTGGTAATGGTGGTGGTGGTGGTATGGGTGGTATGGTGTAATGTAATGGTGTGGTGTGTGGTGGTAGTGGTAGTGTGGTCGGTGGTTGTGTATGGTGGTGTGTGGTGGTTGTGTGGTATGGTGTAGTGTGGTAATGGTGTGTGGTATATGGTGTAGTGTGGTAATGGTGGTGTGGGTGGTATGGTGTAGTGTGTAATGGTGGTTGTGGTGGTATGGTGTAGTGTGGTAATGGTGGTTGTGGTGGTATGGTGTAGTGTGGTAATGGTGGTTGTGGTGGTATGGTGTAGTGTGGTAATGGTGGTAGTAGTGGTAGCCTGGTGGTTTATTTATACATATCATCACTTTGTCAATTTGATTCAGATTTGGCCAAAGGAAAGACTTCAATTAAGACAGTTTGGTTGATAAGGTTTGCGTGTGGGTTGTTCTTTGTGAGTTTGGTTCATGTTTTACACACACACACACACACACACACACACACACACACACACACACACACACACACACACCCCTCACCTTTTATAAATTATTGCACCAGAAATATTAATTGTTTTTTGACTAATTCATCTTGTCAGCTGTTGTCAGTGACGCAATGTATCGAGGTAGTGGGGCCATGGTGGTGTGAAGTTCATGGTCGTCTTTAGTTCATGGTCGTCTTTAATTCATGGTCGTCCCTAGTTCATGGTCGTCCCTAACCCATGGCTAACCCCTAACTCATGGCCACCTCCTAACTCATGGCCGCCCTCTAACCCATGGCCGCCCTCTTACCCATGGCCGACCTCTAACCCGTGGCCAACCCCTAACCCATGGCCAACCCCTTACCCCATTGTCCGGCCCCTATACAGTGGCCCACTAGTTAGGAAGTAATTGGCTCAGCGAATCTAGGGCCGACGGTAACGATTTTCCGGTTGAGTGAGGCAGTAAAGACCAGGTAGGGCAAGTGAACACACCTTTAGGGCAAGTGAACACACCTTTAGGGCAAATGAACACACCTTTAGGGCAAGTGAACACACCTTTAGGGCAAGTGAGCACACCTTTAGGGCAAGTGAACACGCCTTTAGGGCAAGTGAACACGCCTATGGGGTAATTTACAGCAAATGAACACATTTTAGTGCAATTAAGGGCAATTGAACACTCCTTTAGGGCAATTGGACATATTTGGGGGTCATGCTGATCTAGTGAAAGTCCTCCAATTACTCTCCTAACATGTATTGGTCGCGTACAGTTCCAGGCATGTCTTGTTTGTTTTGTCTTGTCATGTTGTCTGTCATGTCATACCAGCAAGTGAACACACACACCTGTCATACCGGGAGGACATTCACCCCGGTTTAAAATTGCACCTCATTAACCTGGTCTGTGACGTTTGATTTAACAGTAAAAATACAATGGTTCATTTAGCGAACATTAATTACCGGTTAATTAATAAAACAAGAGTGACAGGTATATAGGGCGTGGCAGCTGATCTAGGCGGGGCAGTGACCAGCTTGATGAAGGAGAGTTAATAAAACCCACGTGTTTGAGGGTAAGTCTTGAGCTGATTGGTGTTTGTCCAGATGACGTGGGTTTGTGTAACTCTAATTAGTCTCCTATCACGTCTAATGCAACAAAGAAATCTAATCTTAAATTTGGAATTAGTTCGTTTTACCGCCACACCTCCCCGTCGAGCGCTGTAGTTGTGTGTTCTTCGCGGATTTGGTTGTAAACAGGAAGGTCTCCGTATATGGGAAGGGGCTTAACACTACGGGACTGTCGACTCGAGGGGCGTTCTTAATAAAACACGTTAGAGGAGTGAGTTGTATCTCGGAGTTCTTTGAGTGTGTGGGTCTAAGATGCTCCTTCGTTCCTCTTTAAGACATTATGCTGCAGACAGTGGCTGTGATCTAGTTAGGGAGGGGAGAGGGAGTGAGGAACGGTGAGGGAAGACTTGGGAGGGGAAGAGGGAGAGGGGTGGGGAGAGAGGTGAGAAAGGGAGGAAAGGGGTGAGGAAGGGATGGGGAGGTAAGGTAGTGGAGAGTTAGGCAAGGAGAGAAAGTGAGGAAGGAAGGAGGAAGATGAGGAATGGGAGGGAGGGGAGCCCAAGGTCAATTGGAATATCACATAAAGTTAGGCCAACTCAATGTCACTTCAAGGTCAAGGGGAAGGTGATCATTGACCATTGAAGTGACACTTGAGGAGGATGAGCTTGGTTACTCAACACTCGAGGAGATATTTACCCTCCTGATACTCTTATTAAAATTGTCAAGGTTATTTTTTTAGGTTTTTCGTGGTTGTTGGAGGTCAGAAGTCTGGGTCATAGGTAATGATCTTAGGTAGAGGTCAGAGGTCATAGGAAAGGCTATAGATCAATGGCAATGGAAACAAGGAAAGGTCATAGGTAAAGGTCAGAGGTAATGTTCATAGGTAAATATAGATCATAGGCAAAGGCCTTAGGTAATGTTCATAGGTAAAGGTCATAGGTAAGGGTCATAAACAAAGGTCATAGGTCAGGATCATAGGTAGAGGTTAGGTAATGTTCATAGGTTAAAGTTATAGGTCAGGGTCATAGATAAAGGTCATAGGTAGAGGTCATGGTGATGGTCCTGGGTCATGGTGGAAGGTCAGGTAGTCGCTCGTGATGTCAAAAAATGCATTAAATCTTACCTGAGAAATTAATCTTCGCAGTGACTAGCAATTTGTGGTTGAATGATATATTGTTTAGTTCTCCCTTGAGTAAGACTTTTGTTTCATTTGTCTTTGCGTCTATTTTGTGTGGGGGTTAGGTTAGGTTAGGTTAGGTTAGGTTAGGTTAGGTTAGGTTATTAATCTTAAGATAAAATTGACTTGGGGTGGTAATCTTCACGTGTCCCTAAATATTCCTTGTGAAAGTAGGGAGGAGAGTGCAACACAGTGCCACACAGTAGGGAGGAGAGTGCAACACAGTGCCACACAGTAGGGAGGAGAGTGCAACACAGTGCCACACAGTAGGGAGGAGACTGCCACACACCGGCAATGAAAAAGCGTAATCAGAGCCGCAGTGCCACAGCTTGTACAGTGCCACAGCTGTTGCCAGAGACTGTTTTATGGTCTCGCGAGGCAGACCACAGTGGGGGAGTGTAGGAGAGTGTGGGAGGGAGGGAGAGTGAGAGAGAGAGAGAGAGAGAGAGAGAGAGAGAGAGAGAGAGAGAGGTATTCCTCTCAACACAGTGATAAACTCAGAGGGGTAAACATAACAGTGTTGCCAGAAGAGCATTACAACACACCAGTGGCCTGTAGTGTATACTGTACA